TTAAACGCTCACTTGTTCCGTGTTGAGCTGGGGGACAGTAATCTCTGTGAATGTGGACAAGGTTACCAGGACGCAGATCACATTATTTGGTCATGTGCTGAGCACCGTGGAATCAGATCCGAGTTGTACGATTCCCTTCGGGCTCGAGGTAGACAACCTAATGTTCCAGTTCGGGATATTTTGGCTAGACGCGATCTGGAGTTTATGCAACTCATATATGTTTTCTTGAAGAATATTAACCATAGATTGTAAGTTTGATTAACCTTGTGTTTAGTTTGTGTTTTGTATGTGTGTGTGTATTTTTTTTTTTTTGTAGATTTGTTTCTGTAATAATTGTATAATTACAGAGTTGATATAACGTCGATAGGATTAAGTATATGTTTTAGAAATAGTGAAATTTTTGAATCATAAATCATATTCCAAATCTCCTTTTCCCTCTCCCGATCCAAACAATTGTCATCCACTAACCTCGAGAAGACCGCGAGTAATCGGTTCCAATCCTTTAATTTTAGATTTAAGACATTTATAATGTATAAGGAAAATGATAACTTGGCTTTGTAAAGTTTATTCGATTGAGCCTGTACAAATAAAGTAATTAACAAAAAAATATTACGTTTAAAATATTTTTTAATTAATCTAAATTATAGATCTTAAGCCACTTGCAACGCCCATAAACACACCCTTAAAAAACGTATAACGACTTTTTTCGCTTTTTAAAAAAAAGTAGACGACCCTATTTTCAATCTTTTTAAGATCAAAATATTCTACAGACCCTAGGAATTCTAGAGATACCGCAATTTTTGAACTTCATCAACAAATGGCTAAGCTATGCCATTACAAACTTGTCGTTACACGCTTTTCGGAGGCATCGTATTCGGAGTGTTAATATAAAGAAATAACCAAACTCAGGCACTGTGCAACATGCCTTTCTAGGACGGAATTTTTAACACATATTTGACTGTGCCATACCATAGAGGTAACTCTAAGACAAGAAGGTCCCGAAGAAACGTACTGGTACTCTCTTCGGTCCCAAGCTAATCGATTCACCCCTCGAAACATAGGAAAATCCACTAACCCCTCATTTTATCTGTCAAACTTTCATAGCGTATCAAAACAAACATTGTTAAGTACTAGAATTTCGACTAGAATGGTGTACGTTAATCGTTTGCTTGGGACCAATAGGCTAGTCAAGTAGTGAGCCAATTTAAAATCGTTAGTTTCGTATTTATTGTTGACCATACTGCGACAACCGTCGAGCACCGTCATCTTCCGGGAACGTACTGTTCATCCACCGCCGAGAAACCCCACCCGCTGCAGAATCCCGTCATCGTTGGTCAGCACTAAAGAGCCTGAATTTATAAAGAGACGATATGTCAAAATTGGAACAATCGACTATCTGTCAAAGTCATACGAAAAGTCATTCCAATCGAGCAAAAGACCTGTCAAATAGATAAGATGTCGTCTCTTTATAAATTCAGGTTCTTTAGTCAGCACTACACATACACACACACGCACACACACACTACAGACACCGAAACCGTGAGTAATAAAAAATAGCTAATAGGTGTGCTTCGGATCAGTATCGTCAAGCCAAGAGACGACCTTGAAGCTCTAGGGTTTCGAGCTCGAGCTAGCCAACAAAAGAGGCGAGTGTAACGCAACCCAGACGATCTCCGTATCTAGACCAGAGGTTAGGGGAATCCCTTTAAACTAGCCCACCTGGCTAGCCACTAACACTCCCTGAATAAGGTTGCACCGCCCTATAGGCGCATATGAGATCAGCGAGCTTGCAACACGGAGGTGATCTGCGTTCACCGCCTAAATAATAGAAATATCACCGAAATGTGGCGTTCAACATTGAGAGAGCGTATTCAAGTATTCTAGACAAATATGAGTCATTTTTGACAAGTGGACCTTGCTCAACTTTTTTCGAATTCCAAATGCTTAAATAGGAGGTAGGAGAAATAGCTCTAATGTTGACCTATGGATCTAAGATTGGGCCCATCGCTAAAAATCTGCTATTTATCAATTGTATCTTGATGAACGCGTCATTGGGACGGTCCTAATGGCTATTTTTGGTTGCTATTGAAAATTTAGTCGATTGCTGAATTTATGTATGGGCCCAAATTAGGGACACTTAGGCCGACATTACATAAATTTCCCCTATATGGTCAAAATTGTGAATAATTACTCCAATTCATAAAGAGGGTGGTTCTTAAGAAAAAACATGACCTGGATTGCACTGTTTCAATTAGAAATTAGAACAGAAACGCACCCCTTGCAATGCTGAGTTGTAGTTTCATTATACAAGCAGTATTTTACTACAATTTGCAACTGCTCGACTATTTTGTTTTATTTCTGAGGAGATTTGAAACACGAATGGAACTCTGTTTCAAATTTCTTTGGATGTATTTATAGATGCGTATCTTAAATGTTCAGAGAACTTTTTACAATTGAGGGAAGTTAAAAAAAATTTGGAAATTTCACAGAAGATTTGAGTTCTGAGAAGATTGGGGAACTTCATATATTACGAAGAACTTCACTCACAACTCGAAGAACTTCATACAGAACACTAAACTTTATGGAACTAGTAATTAAAAAAAGTTTCCGTAAGAATCATTGAAGTCCTGGTTATTTCATAGAAGGGAGAGGTATTTCATAAACGTTCGGGGAAATTCGTGAAAGTTTTTTGAACTGCATAGTATATTATAGAACTTCTTGGAAATGCATGGATCTTTACAGAATTGCATGAAATCGCTTGCGTCTCTTACATCACACAAATATTATCTCATACATACTAAAAAAAAGTCACGTAAATTTCGGTTCCCTGAGACCGACACATGCAAGCGGCCCTAATGACATAAGAATCAGTTAAAAGAGACGAGAAAATTTTGCGTGTGCTATAAGAACTCAATTTTACATTAAATGTTCGTTTACGTCCCATGATTTACGTCAAAGATGTACGTCACGTGTAAAAATAGTTATTTCTAAGTGTGTATGATACCAGGTTGTTCAGAAATTACTCCAACGATCTTCAGGTGTTCTAAGATCTCCATGAAGTCCGCTGAACATTTTTTTCAAGGCTTCAGGTTGATCAGCTAAAGATCTTCATTTATACAACAATTCAAACCACATTTATTAGATGTTCTCTCATGAGGCAGGCTGGTTAGGAAATATAAGAAGATCTATAGCTAATAAAAAAAATTCTGGATTTTTTTTAAACATCGGGTTGTTCACATATTGATGTGAAGATCTAGAGCTGTTCAAAACTTAAATTGACGTCTCTTAGAAATGATTCCAAATCAGAGGGTTGATCAGAACTCCAAAGCTCTCCGTCTTATCGAATATATCAGTGAATCTCTTTGGATATATTTCCAGATTTCTGGATGCTCGTGTAATATTCTGAAGATCTCAAGTTGTTCACAAATCTAAATGATGGCACTTAGATACTCTCCCAAGGGGACAGTTCGCTAAGAAAATATTCAAAAGATCTCCGGCTGATCGATGATTTTAATAAAATTCTATGGATATGATTCGAAATACATGAGTGACATGAGAGGAAGAGGTTCTAGGGAAGACAATGTTAGCCGTGTTCAGATTGACGGTGACCAAATCGGCTTCCAATGTAATCAAGATTGGAGCTGCCCCATGGGCTATGGTTTTGACAGTTCGTTTGACTTAAAACCAGCCAGTCTGCTCCTCTCTTATCTTGGACCCTCTCCTCTGTCAAAAGTGTACTTTTTTTTTATCTGTCTGCTAAGAAGGCTGATATCTAATTTTCTGTGCATCTCAGATTTTTGAAAACTTGGACAAGATTTTCCGAAGAAACCATTCTCGATAACTTTTTCAAAGCGACGTATCAGCTTTTGTAAATAATGCATTTGATCGTCGATTTGGCGTAACTGGTAGCACGGCCACGCATTCTTTCACTACCATCAGATAGGGGAAATTTTTGCCTACCTGCTGGTGGTGTTAGTAAGCGTCTGCGAGCTACCAGTTACGCCAAATCGACGATCAAATGCGTTATTTACAAAATCTGATACGTCCCTTTGAAAAAGTAATTGAGCATTCTTCTATGACGCTCTGTTTATTTATATGATGTTATGCCACCATTACACCACGGGCGCCGCAAAAGCTTATTGCGTGCTCTCAACTTAGTGTAGTAGATGCAGTCTACAGCTTTTAATTGTAAACTTTCGCTGACTGTACCATTTTTACAATAAAACACTTAAATGTGTGACAAGTACAATCATACTCTATGCCCAGGAAAGTCGAGAAATGTTCCAATCCGAAAAATTCCTATACCGGACCGGGAATCGAACCCAGCCACCTCAGGATAGTCTTATTTTGCAGCTGCGTCTTTACCGGATGAGCTAAAAGAAGCGATGACGGCTAGATCCGGTAAAGGCTAGATATAAACTAATCAGAAACGACAAAAGTTGACCCTTTCTAAACTGAGCAACTGTGCCGCGTATAGACTTGTCTGACGTTTGTGAAATGCAAAACTTTAGGTAAATTTTAAGTATTAGTACAAGAAAACTTTTGAATTCACCCAAAGTTCAGCACTAATACTTGTGCAATTCATAAACGTCAGAGAAGTCTATAGAGTTGTGTATGTTCATCGTCGACTGATACTGAGAAGCTACTACGGTACAGTCACACATGACCGACAAGAGGCGAGTGTGTATAGTGTATAATGTTTGCGAATTAAGGCGATTCCACTTCCAATTTTTATTTACACAAATCTCGAAAAGTTGAGGCCCATTTCACCTGCAATTGCTACTTCATGTATGCTGCAGTGCAGCAAACGTCAAGCAGCAGTTTCATTGTGGTACGTGGCGTGACATTTAAAGTTTCGAAGTAGTTACGGGAACAAGGATCACACAGCGAAACACCTTAGATGGGGTAAATTGCAATTGTGCAAGAATCTAACATGCGTGCTTGAAAACCAATAAAAAGCACGTAAAAAGTACGTTCGATTCGTTCTTTACCTAACTTACCTGCACCGCCATGCACCTCTTGCGGTTCAATGTCCAGCTGTTTGGAACCGCAGGGACACAGCACATCCACCACCAGCAGAATTAAATTGCTATGTGGGATCTTCTGCACGCTGAAGGGTCGCTCACATCCAGAGGAGTGACAGTTTGTCAGTTTACCCTAAATAATAAAGAAACATTGATTGATTGTCAATAATGCCACAAACTCCTCATAGTTTACCTTCAGTGGATTGTTCTGTCCACTAGAGTTCAACCGATCCGGTTGCAAAATGTACAAATCTGTCTTCAGATCACATGGTCTGGCATGAGCGGGATCGGGTATCACCCGTGGGCCGGAGGTCGCCTGCGACCTGTGTGGCATTGGAGTCGAATGCACTTCGTAGTCCGGTGTTGTAGAATCGTACGGGTTATGTTCCGCTGGAATTTCGTAGTTGGTCTCGTACTCGTAGACTTCATCAAACTCATTCTCGCTGTCATAGTAGCTATTGCTCTGCTGCCAGGAGGCAACAGGAGTGGGCAAGATCGATAGCCAGTAGGTTGCAAAGGTGACTATGTACTTTAGTAACCAGGACATGGGTCGAACCGGTTTCAGCGGTTCTCCAGCGGCAGTGTATGGATTGTCTCGATCCGAACACATTCCTTGGTAGTCCATGAAGGCAATCCTACGAAATATGCGATCCTGAACGAGAGAATCCATGATAGTGCCATCGATTTGTCCGAAGAATTTTCCGGTGTGCTCGTTTCGTTCGGACAGGATGACGAAACCATTGTCATCCAACAGGTAGCAGTCCAGTTCGTCAGACGCACAAGTCTTCTTGCAGGACATAGATCCAGTACACTTGAAAAAAAAAGGTTTAACGGTTATTAGCTAGTCAAATTGTAACGCTCTCAGTACGTACTGTTGAAGTGATGTTGATAAAATGCTTCGCAAGAGATTCATGATGAAACTGTAGACCTACGACTGCTGCTGGGGCCTTATGACCGCGATGGTCTAGGAAAAGTGCATGCGTTGCAGTCACCAATGTTGAACTGTTTTTGCCCGAATATCTACAAATTCAAGTTACAATGTTTTGTGATTTACATTTTTTTTTTCCATTTCCTAACATCATACCCAGAATCAAATGGCACACTGAAGACAAATCCATCTGGTTCGATTGAATGGTGGTCAACTGCTCGCTTATACCAACTCATGTCCATCGCTCGGGCATTGGTCTCGCTGAAGTGACTGCAAAATAAAACATCAAACATTTAAAATTCATCCGGGCACATCAAAATCACTCGAAAATCTTACGGTTCATCGTTCTCATTGTGAGGCATATGGTCGAACCACCGAAGCAATCCGGCTCGAGTAGCAACGAACGTTGTCTTTATCTCAAACATGGTAAACCCTTGCCTATGAGGTGTGACGGAGGAGTAGAGAGGTATAAAAGAGCAATCTTAGTCATATTTTGGCTAATGAATGGTAATTAACTGCTATCTCCCGGCGCCGATCTCATCGGTCGACCGAGCCATCTCTTTGCATGGCAAGATGCAACAAAAGTTTTAATAGCGGTTCAACCTCTGAACCCATAATGAAACAAAATCCTTCCACATTAAGGGATGATTCGCTAGATGTTGCGGTAACGTAAATCAATCGTAATCAATTGGAAAACTGGCTTTAAGAAAATTACGCAGACTGATGACTGATTGTCATCGATCGTAAATACTTACTCCATTAAAATGTAGATAATTTGTGAATTCAATAGACAAAAGAAAACAAACTACGGGGAAGAAAAGAAAAGTATGATGTGCATCTCTATAGCGATTTTACCTGTGCAAAAGGGCCATCAATGTGGCGATTGGGCTAACAAAAGTTATTTGATTCGAATAAACAGAAATACACGCATACGGAAGAAAGTGCAACGATTAAGAGTGCAAAAGGTTAGTGATGACATTAGTCAGTGTTTGCAAAGGGTTTAAATTAGTAGAACTATTGGTGAGCATATATAAACCTAAGAATGGAAAATGTAGAGCTCTTATTGTAAGCATAAATACGTATTATCAACATTGAGAACGACAAGTATAATAATGCCTGTACTGCAATTGGCGCAATTATCTAACTGTTTTTTTTCACAAGCACTTTGAAGATTTGAACTCGTGACTTTGACTTTGGATATTAACCACTACGCCAGGACCGACCAAAAAAAAAAAGGTGTAATGTTATTCAGTCACGAATGAACTCAAATGTATTTTGCAAAACAAACAAACTATAATATTTGATTAATTTATTTGAGATGCCGCATAAGTCAATTTGATTCAATTGCTGGAAAACAAAGATCTGAGGTCCTCTGTAATCAAAATAAAAATGAAATCCCGTCCTGGCGATACACGCAACGCAGCACACTTGTCACTTAACAGTTGGTGTTACTTGTATGCACCTTATTTTAGTCACAATCAAGTTGCAGCTATCTATTTTGCCTGGGATTTTTATTTATTTCGCTTCAAGTCTAGTGAACTAAACCACCTTAAGGCCTTAGACAAAGTTAGCCTTATGCTTCATATCCGAGTAAAGTGGGAACACTTCAGGGAGACTGGAGGAAATTTCCAAAACCTCACCCAGTGCCGTAATTGCCAAGGATGGGGTCACGGAACAAACAATTGCTATATGCCAGCTAAATTCATGAATTGTGGTGATTTCTCTCACGCAAAGGACGACTGTCTTGTCAAGGAAGATGCTAAGCAATTTAAATGCTCAAATTGAGGTGATGGGAATGTAAGATTGTAGGAAGCACTCCACGTTCCCACTAATTCTTCTGCTGTTAACAACGGTCAGCTAGGAACAAATTCTACATTCGTACCCGTAGGTACAAACAGTTATCAAGCCTCAAATTCTTCATCTATAGCTGCTGCTAATAATGTTCAGCAAGTAAATGGGGTTACATATGCTGCTATTGCAGCTGGTAGGAATCAAATTCAAAATACTAGCCAACAGAAATTTTGATAATTTTGACTTACATAGGTAGCATTACTGCTTTTAAAATGGAATTTTTATATACATCATTAATTGAAATGATTACTGATATGCTAAAAACTAATACCATGTGTGATGCAATTCAAACTAAAGTGAAATTTGCGAACAATATCGTCATGCTTTGAAATCCAGCGATGAATTTTAAATCCCTAAATATTTTGAATTGGAATGCTCGCTCTCTTATAGATAATGTAGACGAGCTATTTAACTTTTTAAGAGTTCATAACGTGCATATCGCCGCTATAATTGAATCGTTCCTTAACCTTGATCATAAGCTTAAAAGGGACTCAAACTATTTCATTTATCGAAATGACCGTCTTGATGGAGCCGGTGGTGGCGTTGCTGTCATTGTTCATAGACGTATCAAACATCAAAATCTATATTCTATTCTATAAGTCATGAGTTGCTTCTACACAAACTCGAGAGCTATGGATGGTATAACAGGTAATGCAAATTGTGTCTGTCAACGATGGGAGAAGTGATCCCAAGAACATATCATTTGGAGTTCCACAAGGCAACAATATTTAATGGGTTTATGGTGAACCGCAGGCATGTCCAGGCAACGAGAACGTCAGGTACTACAAAACCGTTGCTTGAAAGTCATCTTTAAAAAAAAGTAGAAGGGTCTGTTCCTAGGGGCACGAACGGAAGCTTGACGTAGGACCGCTAGTGGACGGAACAAATGTGAACATTTAGTTCTTTTAATTGATCAATCATCAATTATCTTAACTCTTTCCGTTTTTTATTTGTAAGCGTATCAAATTTGTAGTATTTATTTCAAAGAGAAAGTTGATGAAGAGAATCCAAGGGTCTGTCAAATTGAGTATTTTCGATTCATCTACCCGACTTGTATTTTGAATTTTTTGTTATTTATGTATTTTTAAGATTTGTGCATTTTGGTATTAAAGTGAATTCAATTCACCCCTCACAGGATTTCCTTCCAAATTATGTGAATGGGGCGGGGCGGTAAGTATCGTTTGTGCAGAATATGTAAAAAAGGAGACACTTCGAGAGATTGAACTCGTGAGAGCTAATTTTCTCACAAATTTGATTTTATTGGCTTTCTTTCTTTCCCACTTCTCTCAAATTCTATATGGATTTTTAACGCCAGCGTGTACTGGAAAATGGTCGGACGATGCTTAATCTCACCAATACATTCGGGCCTGCAATTCCACACCTTATATAGAGACCAGGTTGAGCGTTGATAGCTAGCTGCTTGCGGAAACTGATGACCTTGACAAATGTCCAAATAATACTCTTAAGAAATTTATGGTGGTCCTGAAAAGGACCATTTTATAGTGATGGTTGAGTTTTTTTTTCTTATTAACTCTATTTGTTTTAAATTCAAAATAAATTACATTTCATTTCAACCTAGGTGCTCCAGTTACTACAGTAACTTACCAGCCTTAATTGTTATGATATATATCTAAGTGTTTTTACATTGTTCCTGCCTTGGCAATTCAGTATTTTAAACAGGTTTTTTAAACCTGCATGTCAGTATAACAATTGTAGTGATGGTTGAGTAATGCTGAGCTGAGCACGACGAGCTACTGATTCCGATCCTAGCCTAGCGGTGGGACTTCTTCCTCCTTCTCTATAGTTGCTCATATGAGCTCTGCAGCTCGCTGCTTGCAGGCAGCCTTTGGTTGTTGTTGTTGTTGTTGTTGTTGTTGTTGTTGTTGTTGTTGAAAGCACTCCTGCTGCTGCTGCTGCTAGCTACTACTGCTGCTGCTGTACTGGACACCACCACTTACGGTGATTGAATGAGCACCGTTCAGTGGGACCGCATCGAATTCGATTTTTAAGTCTGTGTTAGGGAATGCGCTGTTTTCAGACAACGACTCACGAAGAGCTACTGATTCCGATCCATAGCATAGCAGTGCAGCTTCTTCCTCCTTTGATGGTTGCTTATGTGGGCTCTGCAGCTCGCTGCTTGCAGGCAGCCTTTCGTTGTTACTGGAGAACAATTTTCAACGCCACACGCCAAAAGCACTGCTACTGCTGCTACTAATTTCGATGACCGAACACCACCACACAGTGGTGTGGTCGTTGGGAGCATGTCGTTCTGAGTATGGCGATGAGTGTGCAAATTATTACGCAATTCTATCCTCCCTATTCGCACGCGCCCGAGGATCGGAGGCGAATGCCACTTCGACTTGTTTCGTCTACTTACTACTCTCTGACGACTGTGCTGGGGAAGCAGCATATGCATGTAGGTAATTGGTGGATTTGTTAGTTAATTCGACGCTTTTGGAAAATGCTGGACATTTACCAGTTTTTCAATAGTTTCTCGTTGCATTCGGAAGCATTGTTATCGATGCGTAGCCATATTTCTGATCGATTGGTGCAGCTGAGTTATTAACGTTGAAAATCTTTCTTAATTTGTTACATGTTCTATTTTCGGTTTTCACAAAGTGTACCCCCATAAAGAAATCAAAGACGTAGTCTTACGTCAAAACCGCACCTTTACCCAACGGAAAAGCTGTACAATGACCTGCAGAACTCGTTTTTACCAATTTGAGGACTTCAAGTGTTGCACACATTAACACACTTGCATAACATTGTTGTAACAAATCCAGCCACACATCACAACATGACAGTCACAATGAACCTCTCAGAAATGTTCAGTAGATTTAACGGTAGCATTCGATTGGTCCGACCCCATTCAGAACTCGGAAAAAACGGTTTGGTTACCATGGTGGTAAACTATACAACGAGCTCCCAACAGTAATCAAACAAAAGCAATCCACCGATCTGTTCAAGGCGAACATCAAACGATATCTAAAGCTTCGTATCTCGCACTATCTACGTTGACGTAAATCGCCAGCGGTCATATCTTGCCTTCGGCCTGGATGAACACCAGTTCTCTGTCAGGTAACTAAGACTGATACATGTCTGGCAGAAGCCGCCAGTGATACTGCGCCCCTAATGATTTGCCAACAAATGGTTCCAGATCCACATGATTGATGGTTTGGCATCCTATGCTTCCGACCATTAGCTGTTACAACGCTCTCAGCGGTCGTCATCTGCCCATCGGTCTGAATGAACACCAGCTCTTTATTAGCATGGCATCCTACGCTACGATGTCTACCTGAGTCAACGCTCCCAGCTGCCTTCATCTGTCCTTTGGTCTGGTTCAACACCAGATCTCTGTCAGCTTGGCATCCAAGGCATCCTACAATTTTGACGTCTAGTGGAGTCGACGCTCTCACCGTTCTTCATCTGCCATTCGATCGGGTTGAACATCAGCTCTATGTTAGCAACATTGATAGCATGGCATCCTACGCCCCGACATGTAACTGCTTCGACGCTCCTAGCCACCATCATCTTCGGTCTGGGTGTACACCAGTTCTCTGTCAGTGGAGTCGACCCTCCCACCGGCCCTCATCTGTCCTTCGATCGGTTTGAATATCAGCTCTCTGTCAGCAACATTGATAGCATGGCATCCTACGCCCTGACATGTAACTGAGTCGACGCTCCAAGCGGCCATCATCTTCGGTCTGGTTGATAACCAATCAATTTTTGCTCCGTTTTTTTGTCGACTTTTGTGAAGTTGTAATTAGATTTCGCTTGTGCTCCCGGTCCAGAAATTTGTGGCATCGCGAGTGATAGTTTTTAACTTCAGTTTATTTATGCGTTGTATGATTTTATGAGCGGTTGCTTCGTGTTCGCGTCAAGGAGATGCAAGTTGTCACTTCCACTTGGAGCAATTGACTATATTAGACCAGAGGATTGATCCCCGTAAGGCGGGTCTATGGGCGGAACTGCTACACCAAACATGACAAAGCTGCTTGCAAAGGATTCACTTGGACTGATTTGGTGAGATTGTGCCT